ATCCCCACTCACTGGGCCACACTCCCAGGGCTTTCTGGATGCTAGGAGGGTGTCAGGAACCTGCCTGCAGCCCCTGGGTCTTTAGGAGGCATTGATTAGGTGTGGGCAGTAGGTAGGCAGGTGTGGTTTCCAGGTGCTCGGTGAATGGAGGCCACCCACCCAGTGTTGACACAGCACTCATAAACTCTGCTTTGTTCCCAGCTCTGCCTGGGAAGGGGAAGGACACAGAGACCTGGGCGGGCCTGGCTCAGCAGGGGATGCAGAGTGAGGACAGATAGGTTGGGAGAGAGGGTGCCCCCGAGGATGCTGAGAGATGAGGCTGGCATAGGAAGCCCAGCTCTGTGGCTGTAGAAGAACCCAACTGTTCAAAGGCTAAGCTTTGGGCAACACAAGCAGGGTGGTGTCATCAACTGTCAGAGCCACCGCCCAGTCCTGGGTGAGTGGGAATCAGGGAGGGAAGGATGAACAGGGGCGAGGGAGAGGTGCTGCTCCCTGGCACCGCTCCAAGGACACACACCCTGCTCCCACAACCAGCTGGCAGCTGGGCAGGGACCCGAAGCTCAGGCCTCTGTTGTTCCAGCCAGTTCCAGGGACAGGCAGGGAGCTGCTTTGTCCTTCCACCAACCACGCTGATACGTGCTGTGTGGTGGACACTGGGCAGCAGTGCCTGCTCCCTGCCCTTGTAGACTCAACGGTTAGAACAGCCACAGACCTGCACACAGATCCCAAGGCAACTTGACAAGGGCTATGAAAGAGGCCTCTGTATGCATGTAGCACTTGGGGAGGGGCGTGCTGGGTCCTGGGACCCTGGTAGAGTAGGAACACCTGCAGGGAGGCTGAAAAGCGTCAGGAAGGGCTCCGTAAAGATGGTAATGCTTACCTACCACGTTAAAGAAAGTCATGCTTCCAAGTAGCCAGAAGGGGAACAGGCATTCCAGGCGGTGAGAAGATGATGGGCAAAACCGAAGAGCTGACCAGGAGCCTGTTTGGGGACCTATGAAGCATTGAACACAGCTGGACCACACGTGGAGGCTGTGGGGGTGGGACATGGGTGGAGAGGAGGCAGTGATTAGCAGGCTCAGCTGGGCCAAGCAAAGGCACTGAGGAGCAGGTCCACAGAGGATGGCCCTGGGTAAGCTGGCCCTGAGGACCACCTTTGTGACCCTGAGGGGCATGTCCTCACAGAGGACTGCCCCAGCACAGGGAGGGAGTGGCAATAGGCCTGCATCTCCCAGCTGGGCTGCAGGAAGTGCAGGGACAGAAGTGACCACCAGCCCTTGTGACCCACACAGAGTCGCCACTCCTGCCTCACTTTAGTGCCAACCTCAGGCAGCACAATACACACAACAGATGTGCAGGTGGGACGTTTGAGGTGGCGGAGGCAGACAGGTGCCCAGGCCTGTGTGAGTTCACTGTGCATCTGACACAGGGACTCAAGGGTCCCGATTCCCAGCCCATGAGCCACCCCTGAGCCAGAAAGTCCTCCCTTCCTGGCCTTGCAGACAGTGAGAGCAAGAGCTCATGGGCAAATGGGCAGCACCCTCCGCACGCCCCCTCCCTCTGCATCCCTCACCAGTGGTGCCTGGGCTCAGCCTGAGGAAGTCTGCACCTCCCAGTCAGGCTGGGTTCCCTCCTGGCTGCGGTGGGCCCATGGGGGACGCAAAGAGTAAATGCCTGCAAGCTTTTCCCAGAACCCAGCACAACAGGGTCCCCACCTGGAGCACTCTGTTAGGTGGGTGTGCTGGGCAGCAATGACAGCGGCCTCCTCCTTGCCTTACCCACATGCTCCTGTAACTCAGCCAAGTAACAGGAGAAATTTGAAAAACTGTTTGGGGAAAATAAACCAAAACACACAAACCCAAGGAGCGTACTGGCTAAGTTGGGCTAAGCAGGCATGAGCACAGGTCAGGCCTTTGAACACTGGGAGCTGTCACCCTGACATCAGGACCCACTTCAAACAGACCAGGAACCATCCTAATGCCCCCCACAGAGGGGCCTCCACTGTGCTCTTCACCAGCATTGGGCTGCCAGCCACCTAAGCATATTCCCCAAGCCTCTCAGTGCCTCTGCCCATACCATATACAGTCCCACAGGAGAATTCTCATAGAATAAAGAGTCAAGCAGAGCAATTTCCCCAAATAAACTGAAATACTTCCTTTATTCCAATAAGCAGAGTCAAGTAACGGACCATGCTTCCTCTTTTGCGTTGGCCCCCAGGAGGCTCCCAGTCATATCTAATGTTTATTCGCCACCACTCCCTCAGCTCTTACCACTCACACACGTCCATAATCCTCCCTTAAGATTTTCTGTTGGCTTAATCTGGTCACACATGGCCTGGGTTGTATATCATCTCAACTCTTTGTTGGAAAGAAGAAGGAGGGGTTAAAAATGCAAAGTCTGGCTGGCAGTCTGGGGCCAGCGGAACCCCCCCTTTTGATCTCACCCTTATCCCTGCAGATTACCACTGAACAAAGAACAGAGGGCTTTCCTTTCCTCTGAGACAATGTCCCTACAGAGCACACACTCGATGTGGCATGTGGACAGGCTGTCTTCCTCAGGGCTGATGTTGGTGTTAGTGGCTCATGGAGGGTGGAAAGAATGTATGTGGGAACGCATGGTTCTTCACTAGCAGTGACGTGGCCTTGGGGGTGCCCCTGTTCCCTCTGACTCCAGTCTCCCCAAAAGGCCTGCTGACTGTGCACGATCTCTGCCCTAAAGGGTAGGGTTATCATCAGATCTGAGGAGTCTTCTTAATAACCACAATGTGTTCAACCATTAATGAGAATAAAGAGATCATTTGAAAAGTGACTTTTTTCTAAGCCTAGTAAGTATGAATCCAACTTGAACAAATCCTGACATGTGCCCCAGCCTCAGTCTGATGGCCACTCCCTACCACCACCAGCTCCCTCCATATCCATCTGCCCGGCCAGACTAATCTTCTGTCTCCCATCTTCAGGCCTTCTCACGTTGGAGTCTCTCCTACCTTGAATGGTCTCCATTCACATTTCTCCTCCCTTCCCCATGTAAAATAAATGCCCCTTCTATTCCAGGAGCTGCTTGGGGAAGTCCTTGGTTGACAGGTAGTGTTTTTAAAAATGTGGGCAGTGACTGCACCTGCACTGAATCCCCCACAGGGCTAAAATGCAAATGCCTGGGCCCTCCCCCTGACCTGGTGAGACAGAATCTCTGAGGAGGGGCCAGGAATGTGTATTTCTAACAAGTTTCCCAGTTGACTCAAAGCACAAAAATCAGTGATCTGTCTTGAGTCTTTGCTGAGTGCCAAAGACCAGCTATGGCTGGACCTGGGAATGCATGAAACAACATAACTGGAAGAACCTCGATTCCCCGTGTGTCCCCAGCAGGACCACCCAGGAGATCTGGATTCTAATCTTGAACTGATATTAAAAAGCTGCATTGCCTTAGGTCATTTCCCTTCTTCCCTTCTCTGGGCCTCAGTTTTTCTCAGGACTTGGGGGTCTCTGGGGCCGTCCTGCTTGGCAATCCACTTGAGACAGGCTCCTTTATAGGGCCAGCATGGTAGGAAAGGAATATTGGGAGCTGCTGGGGACAAGCCCAGATGACCCATCACTGTCTTGGTGGACAGCCAACAGTTGCTACTGATGTTCAGAGGGGCACAGAGGCCTTGGGTCAGACGGGGTCAAAGTCAATATCTAAGTGGCCTGGCCTAGTGGGACTTGAGGAGCAACATCAGCATCTGGGCCATGGCAGGGTCAGGCCAGGAGCAGTCTGACACTGATCCCTGGGGAGAAGAGTGAGCACAGAGAGGGGGTCTGGATATCAGGGCTCCAGCCAGGGGACTGGCTCAGAGCCAGGTTCTAGGGCCCATAGGTACGTGAGAGAACATACGGGAATACCCAGGCACAGAGAGGGACTGCAAGTCAGGGGGCTCTCTGGCAGGATGCTTCCAGTGCACTGCTCCAGGGTGCCATCCTACAGAACACAATGCGCAGTGCCCCCTCAAGTTGTGCCACATGGAGTGATATGCTGGGACTAGGCATGAGGAGCACCCCTAGGCATCCTGTATCCTGAACGTAGGGCAGTGGGATGAGCTCTGGGCCCAGGCACTCGTTGCCCAGCTGGGTCCAGCCAGTAGTTGCAGGGAAGGATGCTTCTCCACCCCTCCTGGTGGGAACTGGAGCCTCAAGGCTCAGCCGGGGATGGCCACAGTGGGGTGGCGCAGGGGGAGAAGCAAAGGGCTCAGCAGGAACTTTCCTCTGATCTACAATCAGTTCCCACTAATTACAGGATGCCCCTTTCACTTTGCCCTCTGGGGCCAGACTGCCCAGCCCTCCTTGTTGACTCAGGAGCACTGCTAATAGGAGGAAAGGGCCCAAAGAAAGTTCCAGGACATTCAAAGGACTGGCCCACTGGGCTCAGGAGACTGGCACTGTTTTGCTAGAAAAAAATGGCTGAGAAAGAACTTAAGAACCGATGAAATTTGAAGGGTTGCTGTCCAGAGTACAAATTCAAAAGCAAGTAAGATTCAGTGCTATTCAGCTTAGCAAGTGCTGTCACCAGCTATCACCTTACAACTGAAACAACCGGGAGGGGATCAATACTGCAGTCCCTGAGGCCCAGGTCACAGGGCTAACGAGCGCCTAAACTAGACATTAAGCACTTCACAGCGGATGGAACTGCCAGACACAGCCCGGCCCTGGTAACAGACAACGTGGCTCAGTCACCAGAAGACAGGAGCTCTGGGTAGCAGGTTAGAGGTTTATTAAAGGGCCGAGTGATTTTTCTATCTGATCCTGCAAAGGGCCAGCAGCACCCCACTTCCCCAGACTCAGCCTTTCTGGAGGGTCACCCCTGAGAACCTCTGATTCCCTTGGAGCCCCAAGAGGAAGCTATTGCGTCTTCTCTTATTAGAAACATTTCAGATTCAAAAAGGGACCAAATCCCAATCGCTGTGCCTGGTGAGCTTCCCCCAGCCTAACGCTGAGTGTCCCTGCACAGCAGACAGCCATTCATGTGCAAGCTTTCAAATTCTCTTTATTAAAAATCTTTTTTTTTTCCTTTTGTAAAAACAATCACTGCGGTCAGTTATACAGATCAGGAAATGTGGTGACAATTTATAGGACACTCAACAAATTCTAATACTTTACTAGTTCAAACTTAAATTAATTTGTGTTTTTCTTTTTCTCATAAGCTCAGAAAACAAACTCTGGTCCAGTTCAAGTATAATCTAACCCATCCCAGCGTTGGACGGTCCAAGAAAGGGAAACCTGCTCCTCAAGGCTGCTGCTCACATCAACATCAAATCTACCAAATCCTTTGGGAATATACTGTCTGGATAGACTGTATTTCAGGTGTTTATGATGAAGAGAAAATTCCTCAGGCCTCTTGTTATAGGAACCCGGGGTACAAATGAACCTGCTGCTCAAGGTAGCAGCTGCTCTTGAACAACCTTTTCATGGAGATACTTTGAAATAGTTGACAAACACTGAAGAAAGGCTTTAAAAAATAAATCAGTATTTTCCTGGTTGCCTTGTATATGACACATGTAGGAATAAAAAGTGCAGATCACAGATTGGGTGAAGGACCATGCCAATGGAATTGTATAAAAATAAATAAATAAAATAAATATATATATATGTACACACAAATAAAGAATCTTAGATGATTTTTTAAATGGAAGGGTCTGAATGAATGCAGAGGGCCTCTCCCTTCTGCCTCCCAGAGGCCCTCTCCAGCTTCCAACACGGAGAAACGCAGTCTACCAGCAAGGGAGCCCTTAAATTACTTGGGAATGCTGCTCTTTGCGCAGCCATCAGGATCTGCATGGAAATGCTGCTGGGGGAATGAGCGGGCAGGGTCAGCTTCCAGTCTGTTGGCAGAAAAGATGCCCCTCTCTGGAAATTCAGTTCCAGCCCCTTATGGAAGCAGTAGGCTTTTCCCAGCAAGATTCCTGAGGAGGCCAGAGAGCTGGCCCTAGAGCTCCTCTGGGAGAAATAAGACATACAGGGTCAGAGGTTTTCCAAGAAATAGAGGAGGCTGGTCTCGAGAACACCAGGTAAAAAACCTGTGGTGACTAGTCAGGGGACCAGGTATGGGCTGACCCACCATCTTCAAACCCTGCTGTCTTCGAGACACCAACCTTTCTGAACATCAGGCCCCACCTGCCCCTGCCCCCTGCGCCCTGCCCCGCCTGGCGGCAGCCTGATGCCTCAGGTCCCCTGCTTCCTCCAGCCTTTTCTCGCTACAGCTGACCGAGCTGGCCTGTTCGCCTCCAGTGCGTGCCTTAGATCCTCTCTCCCGGGTCCCCAGCAATTCTCTCCTTGCACGTAACTAACCATCTGCACCTCGGCTGACACATGATCATCTTATTTTCTATATTCCTTTTCTTTCTGTGCCTCAGTTTCCTGGTGATAAAATGCCAGTGTCCAACTCAGATAATCTCTCAACCCTTCTGCCATTAGTGTGGAGGACAGGATGTGCAGTATACTCCTCTCTCATATAAAGAAAAGTGCAAAAAATAATTTAAAAAACTAAACAATCCCGTCCTAGTCTACCCACCTGAGATAAGGAATTAAAAACACTGGGAACCATCTTCCAGGGGCTGAGACAGGGGGGCCGCTCCCAGGGGGAGCATCTCAGCTTAAGGAAACAGCACCAGGCCCTCCTCTGACCTTCCTGAAGTCTTCTCTCTACCAAGCCTCATTTCCTCCAGCACCTTTGTCCCAAACCCTTCCAGTGGCACATCAGACTAGAGACCCCGCAGCCTGCCTGGGGCCTGAAGGCACTGGCCTCCACTCTCAGAAGGCCTGGTAAGAAGGGCTCTGTTCTTCAGAACATTTAGCATCAAAGTCTACACATGGCATTAACTCTGAGATGCCCTTGGCCCTCTGCCAAACTGGAAAGGGCTCACCGGCAAACACCCTGCAGTCCTCAACTGCTGCCCTTCAATCCTGCAGCCTTCTCGTCCCCTAGCTTCTCCCCACAACTGAGAAACCATTACACCACCCTGCTATGAGGCTGCCGGAGCCCAGAACGCAGGCACCAAGGGCAAGTCAAGGACAGATGCCACTTCCTTATTTGGTGTCTCTTGAACCAATGTCACACGTGGCAGGGAGGCCAACATTCAACCTAAGCCCTTCCCAGCTGCTCTTTTAGCTGGAGGGAAAAGACACTTCTGTTTTTGTTTTTAACTGAAGTACATCTATACCAAAATCATTAACCAGAATGGAACAAACTCTGGCATCTCCTGAAATCAAGAGGAGGGAAGTAAATTTTGGGGGAAACTTAGCAGAGCTTCCAAATTGAAGGGCGCTTTTCCTCCTCTAATATTCATTACGCCTGTGTTAAGGCATAAATCTGGTAGACTTCTAGAATAACTGAGAGGATGAAAGAGTTATTAAAAACAGGGCTTTTCAACAAGGTGGTCCAGTTGGAGGAACTCCCAGCTTCTGCCAACAGATTGCGCAGGGTGCCCCCCTCCAGGGCTACAGGACCAGATTCAGCTCTCCCCGCACACAGGATGCCAGGCGGAGAACTGCTCCCGGTTCACCGACACGGTTCTTGACCCAGCGTTTCTGTGAAATCTTCTCCTTGGGTGACTCAGCCTGGCTTGGTATGTCCTGCCCATCAAGAACCTGAACATGGTGAAAATCCCTGAGAAGTTGGATTTTGTGAAAAGGAAATGGCCCTGGGCACAGAAGGAGGGAGAGAGGGAGGGGTGAGGAAGAAGAGAGGGACAAACTGAAAGATGGTTCGGAGCAAACAAGCGTCATCACCAGGGAGAAAGTGGACGACCCTCAGGGGCTGGACACAGCAGGGTGACAGCTCTGGGAGACGCACAGGGGCGTTTTCAGGAGCCTCTGAGGAACAGAGCGGGGCAATGCGGCCTGCCTGGTTTTCCTTCCTCCTGGGCTTTAGTTTCTGTCCCGGAGGTCAGGGAGGCCCCACCGCAGAAGGCCCTCCTCTCCCCGCTTCCAGCAGCCGCCGGGTATCAGAGCTTCCTCCTTTCAAAGTGCGGCACCATTCCACTGTCCTCGGGCCTTGGGCTGCCTGCCCCCTCGGGCTCCTTCAGGCCCTCCTCCGCCAGCTGGGATAAGTACCTCTGTGGTGGGAAGAGAGGGACACAGGGGGAAGGAGAGGGTCAGTGGTGACCTGGCAGGGGAGGAGAGAAAGGGGGCGTGTGCCTTGGCCCCCTCTCCCATCTTCCTGCCCAGTGGGTGGACACCCCTGCCCTCCCCAGGACCCAGCCTACGCAACGGGCTTCCTCCCCACTTTGTTAGTTCATGAGAACAGCACTGCCTGTCTCTTGTAGAAAACGTAGAGAAAACAGATCCTGACAATAGCAAACGCTTCCCTAGCCCTTGTCCTGTGCAAGCACTGCTCTGCTTTCCTTGTACAAACTCCTTTAATCCTCATGACAACTGTGCTTCCCAGAAAGAGCCCCAGTGTCCAGGTGACACATCCACGTGTAAACAGCAGAGGGAGGAGAGGGAGGCTGGGAGGACGGAGGCAGGCAAGAGGCCCTGTCCTATAGCAGCTGAGAAAGGCGAACGGAAGCCGGACCTCCGGGACCCTAGCAGCCTGCTTCCTGCCAGGCAGGCTGGAAGGCTGCGCATCTTGGCAACCCCTCGATGGTCTCTGCTCTGCAGCCGGATGCTGCCTCACACCACCCTGAACACTCCCTGCTCTGTCCAGCGCCCAGCCAAACGGTGGGGAGTCAGGATTCCCTGCAGTGGGCCAGGACTAGGCAAGGCCTGGGGCCCCAGCTGGGTCCTCTGATTGCTGGGCAGGCATAGAGCACTGGGTTACGAGTCAGCAGGGCCAGGGCCAGTGCAGTGGTCGAGGGGGTTCTGCTGTCATAAGACCTGGGTTCGAGTCCTAGCCCTAAGCAGCCAAGTCACCCGCTATCTCTGGTATCTGTAACGTGTGGGTAGTGATGGTGGCTACCTCATCAGCTGCTGTGAAGTCCAAGAGAGGTGCCACAAAGCATTTAGCACAGTTCCTGGCACAGAACCACACTCTGTAGTCTGCCCTTTATCATAAGCAGCACCAGCCATCTGACTTGGGAAGGTCACACATCTTCTCCCAGCCTCAGACTCCTAATTTGTTAATGGGAGAAACGGTGCTGTCCTCCTGACAGGATGACCTTGAGGGTCAGACATGATGACGTGCCTCAGGTGCCTGGGTCCACCTGCTCTCTCTAGAAGAGACTCTAGCTTTGAGCGGAGAGTGGGCCTGATGGACAGCAGCAGACAGTGGAGCCCTGCAGGCCAGGCTGCTGAGGGAGGCCTGAGTTTCTCTTCCTTTTCATCTCAGGAAGGGAAATGTGTGCTCAGGAAGCAGGGAGGTGAGCATACTGTGCGTGGGCATGTTTCCCTCCAGACCCGGAGCCAAGCAGGCATCTGCTTTTCCTACTGAGTACCGACTCCCACTGTGGCTCCGGATCACCCCGGTATCAGGCTCTGACCCTTGGTGGGACACAACGGAGGCTGCAGAGAGAATGGAGGCTGCTTCCACCTGCTGCCTGCCTCAGAGAACACTCCCTGCCCCCGCAGCCTCCGGTGGTGCTAAGTTTACAAGCTGCCTGACTTAGCTGTCAGCTGGCATCTCTGCTTGAGTCTGAATTCTTCACCTTCCACACATATAACTTGGGGTGGGGCCGGGTGGGTGAGGCTGTGTGAACAGAGACATTCTTTCAAGGCCAGACAGAAACCCTATCTGGGCAGCCTGTGGTGGAGGTTCCAGCACCCCCACAGGTGCACCGGTGAAACCTGAACTGCAGTTGGCAGGCCTGAAGAGCTGCCCAGAGTCTGGGCCTCACGTGCCTGGGGACCACAGGAATGGTTCTGGCCTGCTGTGGGGAGGTGAGTCTGCCCATCAGCCCTCCCCCAGGGTTAACCACCAGTCACTTCTCAGTGTCTATGAGCCTATTGCTGTTTTGTTTGTTTTTTGTTTTGTTTTTTAGACTCCACGTTTAAGTGAAATCATATGGTATTTGTTCTTCTCCACCTGGCTTATTTCACAGAGCATAATGCCCTCTAGATCCATCCATGTTGTCACAAATAACAGGATTTTTTTTTCTTTTTTGTGGCTGAATAATATTTCATTATGTATATGTACCACATCTTTATCTATTCATCTACTGATAGATACTTTGGTTGTTTCCATATCTTGGCTCTTGTAAATAATGCAGCAATAAACATAGGAGTGCATCTTTTTGAATCAGAGATTTTGCTTTCTTTGGGTAAATTCCTAGGAGTAGAATTACTGGGTGGTATGGTATTCTGTTTTTAGTTTTTTGAGGAACCTCCACACTGCTTTCCACAACAATTGCACCAATTTACATTCCCACAAGCAGCGTAGGAGGGTTCTCTTTTTTGCACATCCTCACCAACACTTGATACTTCATGTCTTTTGGATAATGGCCATTCTAACTGGTGTGAGGTGATATTTCATTGTCGTTTTGTTTTGCATTTCCCTGATGATTAGCAATGTGGAGCATCTTTTCATGTGCCTATTGGCCACTTGTATTTCTTCTTTGGAAAAATGTCTTTTCAGGCCCCCTGTTCATTTTTCAATCAAGTTATTTGTATTTTTGATGTTGAGTCATATGAGTTCTTTATATATATTGGGTGTTAACCCCTTATCAGATAAATCATTTACGAATATGTTTTCCCATATTGTAGGCTGTCTTTTTGTTCTGTTGATGGTTTCCCTTGCTGTACAGAAGCTTTTTAGTTTGATGTAGTCCCACTTTTTCACTTTTTATTTTGTTTCCCTTGCCTGGGGAGATATGTCCAAAAAAAATTGCTCATAATTATGTTCAATAGCTTTTTGCCTATTTTCTTCTAAGAATTTTATGGTTTCATATCTTACATTTAGGGCTTCAATTCATTTTGAATTTACTTTTGTGTATGGAGTTAGACAATGATACAGTTTCATTCTCTTGAGTGTAGCTGTCCAGTTTTTCCCACACCATTTATTGAAGAGACTGTGTTTTCACCATTGTATATTTATAGCTCCTCTATCATATATTAATTGACCATATATGCATTGGTTTATTTCTGGCATCTTGATTTTGTCCCATTGATCTATGGGTCTGTTCTTGTGCCAGTACCATACTGTTTTGATTACTGTAGCTTCATAGCATAGCTTGAAGTCAGGGAGTGTAATACCCCCAGCTTTGTTCTTCTTTCTCAAGATTGCTTTGGCTATTCATGGTCTTTTGTGGTTCCGTATGAATTTTAGGATTATTTGCTGTAGTTCATTGAAAAATGCCATTGGTATTTTGACAGGGATTCATTGATCTGTAAATTGCAGAATGGCCATTTTGACGATATTAATTAGGAAGCTACAATTTTAAAAAGATGCCTACTGGTACGAAGAACAAAGTTTGGGTCAGAACCAGATGATCTCCAAGACCTGGTCCAGCCCTACCATTCTATAGGTTTCATCTTTTTGGGTAGGGATGATGATATCTTCAGGGTAGATGGCTGCCCTCAGTTGGCTCTGTGGGGCCCAGTCTGAATCCTTGCTTTAGCCAAGTCAGGCCTTCACTGCCCTTCCCCAGGAAAGGCTGGGGCCTGGGGCCTGGCCCTGTGGCCTCCTCAGTCACTGAGCAGCTGCTCTCCAGAGGATACCAAGAGCCTTAAATGACCTGAGCTTGGGAATAGCCAGTGACAGTCCCTTGCAGATGGTGACCCACGCCATCACACTACAGCTCTGTTTTCAAGATCAGCTTGGACCTTTTTAAGGAGAAAGTGACTTAGAATCAGGTACTCTGTTCCTGGGGCTGGTAACTTACCATCTGCACAACCTTGGACACATCACATAGCTTCTCAAAGCCTCAATTTCCTTAACTATAACCAAGAGAGTTGGTTTATATCTCAGTTTCTTAAATAGGGATGCACATTTGAATGATTTGGAGAACATTCTCAGATTATGTATTCCTGGGTCTCCCCAAATTCTACTGAATATCTAACCTAGCATGCATACTTTTGAGACACTGTCCAGGGGATTCTGGCTTACGTCTCTGGTTAGGAAATACTAGATTAGTCACTCTTGAACAACTTAACAGTGACAGTAATGCTTGCTTTGGCATTAGGGCATGCTGCCACCATGACAGACTCTTGGAGTTAAGGTCACATGTGTCAAAAACCTTGTCTGATTCCCTGTAGTAAAAATAGGAGATGCCTTGAGATACTTCTCCCCTTATCTGATATATCATGTTTTCAATCAAGTTACTAAATCCCAGCCTATACCAGAAGTTAATTATGAAAACCACATTCTAATTTGTTGTATATTAGGTGTGTATCATAGAACATATTACTACATTTCATTGATTTTAAGACATGTGTTTTTCCCACACATTAACATCTCTGAAACTGGAATGTACTTTACAGTTGATGGAGTCTCACCATTTAATTTGTGCCATTTTTTTTCTTGTTGATATCAAAAAATAGCATATCTTACAACTGATGGTACCTTAGATTGGATGAAATATTATAGAGTATTTTTTATATGTCACCCATTCATATACTACAAAACTCACTTATTTTATTCATTGCTTGTCTCCTACACTAGGATGGATACTCCATGAGGGAAGGGATTTTTGTCTGCTTCTTTTTTTTTGTCATTGCATCCCTAGAGCCTACAACAGTGTCTGGCATATAGTTTGCCTGTTATAAATAGTTGCAGGAGGGATGAACATTTAAATAGAACATAGTGGTGTTTATTCTAGCAAACAAGGATATTGCCCAGAGGAACAGAAACAGAGAATTATCTGCATCTGGAATATCCAGGTTTTGTGAAAAGCAGCCCTAACCACAGGCCAGATAAATATTAAATCAAGTTACTCGGTCTAGAGGAAGAAGCAGATACCAAAAAACAAGAACAAACAAACAAAAAACAGTCCAAATGTTTTCAAGTACTAAAGTGGAGACAGATGTCCTGAGATTCTGAGAGCACAAAGGAGGCAGCCACGATGTGGAGCAGTCTGGTGGAGTCAGGTCTGAGGGAAAAGGAATTTTCCATGTGGTGAAAAGAGATCAAAATTTATAGAAACAAAGACTGGGGAACCCTCCCAGGTGCTGGGCAACGAAGTTCCTGATAGTTACCTGCAAGTTCCTGTAGTGGACAGCACTGCGACAGTGGCTTATCTTTGCCATCTCCTCACTTGTGTAGAATAGCCCACACAGCTTGCAGTAAAACCCAGTCCTGGGCACCACGAACTCCACCCCTGCAGAAGGATGGGGGGGGTGGACAGGTAAGCAATTAGGATGGGAGGTGGAGGGGCGGCCCCGGTGGTCCTGCCAGCTGTCAGGTGGAAATGGGAGCAGTGATCTTCATCCCTTACATGCTGCTGACTTTGGCTACTTAGCTGCGACAAGCCTCAGTTTTCTCATGTGCAAAATGGGCACAAAGAGAAGAGCACCGACTTCATTCATGGGTGGTTGTAAAAGTAAAGGAGGTACTCCCTCAGGCATGGCGAGTGCTTGGCATTTACATGCCCCACAACTACCTGTGGGAGCTGGCACAGGCTGTCCCCTGATCAGCCTGCTTCCAGGGAAAGAGGAGGAAGGAGCTCTGTCACATCCCACTTGTTGGGTTTTGTTTCTCCATGCTGTATCCCTCTCTGCATCTGATGTGGCCAGCGTTCTGGAAGAATGCTCTCATTTTTTAAATGTTTGAATTACATGCATTAAAGAACAATTTTACAATATGCAAAAGTGAGGAAAAATCACCCAGTCATTCCAATCAGAAAAAATTTCCTCCACACTATTTGTATGCAGAGGCTTTTGGTGGTGGTGGAGGAGGGGAGTGGGTGTGAATCACATCCTAAGAGCAATTCTGCCTCCTCTCTTTTTCATGTAATAGTGTATCATAAACATTTTCCCATCATCCTCCAGTCTTTACATCTGAACCGTCAATTAATAACATTTGAATAGTGATTTTTTTTAAATGTAAGTCCCAGGATTCTGGGCCTTTTGATCCTGAGGAAAGAAAGCAGTGGCCTGACAGAGAAGAACAGTGCCGGGGCCAGGATTCCTCTTTGAAAGGATGGCGGCTGCTCCAGCCTCCACCAAGGTGTTTGGGGGGACACAGTCCTCCTCTTGAAGACACAGTGAGCAGAGTGGAGGAGCCCCAGTGTGAGAGGGTACAAACCAGATGCTAAGAACCTCTGCAACGGCGGACAGTCAGCTGAACCCTTCCTGGGCCTCAGTTTCCCCAGGCACCTGATAGTGAAGCTCTGGCACAAAAGCAGGGCGCACAGGCTGTGAAAAGCAGCCCTACTGGGAATGAAAGAGCACGGCTGGCCGTCAGGGATGCCCAGATCCCACTTCCAGACTGGGGCTGCTCCCTGGGCACACAAACACCCTTCAGCTGGGCTTTGCTGCTGCCCAGCTGGTTGGCTTCCCCTCCCTGCGGGGGTGGGGGTAGTTGGTGGGGGAGAGAGGGGGCTGAAGCATCACACCACGGAACAGCAGCCTCCTGCAGAGAGGGACACAGGCCAGGTGTCCACCAAGGCCCGGTGCGTGACCACGAGGCCTGGCTTCCTTCCTTTTCCTCCTCCCCTACCTCCCCTGAGACAGAGCTAAGGGCTCAGGAGACCCTGTCACAGAGAAGCAGCTTAGACTTGTAATTCCAACTTAGTGTATTTATTTTATTTTTCATCTCAAAAAAACCACTTATCAGTTGGAGAGTCAGGCCTGGAAGGAGGAGGGAGCCTGGGAGGCCTGCCCACGGCCTGCCTGAACTGATTGCTCCTCTGTGGTTTGGGGCCAGGGCGGCCTCCTCAGCGTTTGCTCTGACTGCCACGTAGCTGACTGCAGCTGACAGCCGTCCCTCAGCAGCCTACAGCTGTCCCCAGCACCAAGGGGCTTCCCTCAGGCCCAGCCACCAGAGGGAGGTTGCTGTCCTTCCCCACCTCCCCCTCCTCCCACCCCCACCGCAGGGGACAGAAACCGGCCTGCCTGTGGGTAGCCTGCTTGCCCCTCCACCCTCCACCCCACACACAGGCGCTGGCTCTGGCTGGAGCTAGCAGAGGAGCATTATTGAGCAAGGCCTGCCTATGTCCTCTGTTCCTACAAAAATCTCTCCCCCTTGCTGCTGGCGTTCAGGGAGCAGAGGCCCACAGGAGACAAGATAAAGGCAGCACCCCCTGGAGGCCACAGGGGGCAGGTGCAGGCCTGTCATCAAGGCCACTCCCAGACCTGCCCACCGGCCACTTGGGTGGTACCAGGAGAGAAGCCATGGGGTTTTCACTGCAGACCCCCGAGGAGTCCCCCAGGATCCTCCAGGTTCCCCTAGAGGCTCTCCAGCCTCTGTCCTGGGTCCCCCAGGAGGGGCACGCCTGTCTCAGAAGCCACCACAGAGCCTGACGCAGGGCCTAAACTGGCAGCTGTGGCTGCTTTCAACACAAGCAGTGTGGCCACACTCTGAGGCTCTGGGTGAGGTTTCACTTGAAAACAGCTTCCACAGCCAAAAAAAAAAAAAAAGTTTGAAGCCACAATACAGTGGAGAGAAAATGGAGTTTGGAGTCAGACAGACCTAGCTCGTCACTTACACTGTGTGACCTCAGGCACATTATTTAACCTGTCTGGGATTAGTTTCCTCATCTGTAAAATAGGGATAATCAGACACAAATGGTGTTATGGGGAAGCACCTGTCATTTTGCCTGGTGCTTAAAATACATTAGTTTCCAGACACAGGTCAAACATTTCCCCATAGAGGCCTTCTTGCCCTCCAACCTTCCACCAGCACTGCCCGGAGAACCCAGACTCCACAGTTTGGTAACAACTCTCTTGCCCTGTCCCTGCATGACACCTGGCAGCTGCCCGCCTGGGCAGTACCAGGTGGTCAAAAGACAGCGCTGAGGAAGGAGCAGCCTGTAACTCACCCCTGAGTCACTGGGAGCTGCCGTGGGCACTACAGTGCCAACACTGCCTCAGGACGCTTCTGGGAAGCGAGGGCCCAGCAAAGCAGGAGCACCAAGAAAAAACTGCACAGCATGGTGAGCTCTGGAGCCACTTGGCCCTCCCGTTTCTCAGGCTCTATTAAGTACAATAATTAAAGCTGCATTTGCCTTCTAATAATAGCTCCTGGCATGGGTAATTATAACTCTGTTCTCCTGGCAAAGCCTGGGCTGGGTGGAGGGGAGGCTTGCAATTTGCAGGCAATGCCCTTTGGCTCTGGTAAGAAAAGCAAGCCTTGGCAGGCTCCTGCTAGCTGGGGTGACCCAGAGCTGGCCTAAAACACACGGGCAGTGCCCTTTGCCACCCCCAAGCCCACCCCCACCCCAGTCCCTGAGCTACAGCCCTTTGCTTCCCAGCTCTCCACAGGGACAAAACCTATAGGTTGTCCCCCACTTCCCTAGAAGTCTCTGGGCAGTCATGATGGCCCCTGGAAGGTGAAGGGTGATGCAGCTCCGATGAGAGGGAACGTGGTAGGTCTTGGTAAGTATTTCATGAACAATAACAACAATGGACAGCCCTGATGTACCTCCTACTAGAAGATGCTAAGACCTTACAAGTATTCACTCATTTAATCCTCAAAATAGCTTCTAAGCTTCTATTACTCCCCCTGATTTACAGATGAAGAAAGCCAAGCAGAGGTTAAATAAGCTGCTCTTTGTCCCCCAGCCACCTGGGATTTGAACCCATGGAGTCAGATTCCACAGTCTGTGCTCTTTACCATTGCACAAAAATTGCCTTTCCTATGCTGTGCATCCTGAACTGGAGGAGCAGGAGGGCAGGTTAGAAATCCTGAGTTCTGACCTGAACTGGCTGTTTGATCTCGTGTAAATCTCTGGGCTTCAGTTTCCTTAGCTCTCATATATGGGAGATGGTACCATATTCACCCTCTCCTGCCAAGATCAATGAGATAATGGGTCTCAAAGCTAATCAAAGACTGCAATCAAGTACAAAAGGACAATCTGTCATAGCCCCAAGCCAGAAGAAACCAAATGTGCATCAAAAGGTGATTGAATAAATGAAATGTGGTCTCTTCATATCCACAATACAATGCTCCTCAATGTTAAACAGAAGCCAACAATACAGTTTAATCTCAAAATAACTGTGCTGAGTGAAAGAAGCCAGGCAGAAACAGTACATACTATGTGATTTCCTTTATATAAAGTTCTAGAATTCAAACTCATATTGCATGACAGAAAGGAGAAGAGTGGTTACCTGAGGATCAAGGTGTGTGGAGGGAGGGGTTACAAAGGAGTACCAGGAAACCTGGGGGGTGATGAATATGTTCACTATCTTGCTTGTGGTGATGGTCTCACAGGTATATAACATGTCAAAACTGATCAAATTGTACCCTTTAAATTTGTGTATTTCATTAACATCAATTGCACCTCAAGGGAGCTGTTCGAAAAAAAAAACACAGAATGAGATATCATTCCCCTCCTAAAAGACTGGTAAAGATTAAAGACGGATAACATCCAATGTTGGCAGGGATGTGGAGAATGAGAATTCCCACTCATGGTGGCAGTGAGGACTGGTATAATCTCTTTCGGGTACAATTTAGTAGTAATTATGAACATTTAAAATGCGTATATATGACTCCACAATCCCTGGCCTAGGATACTGTCCTAAAGAAACACTGCCATGCACATAAAGGTAACAGCATGTCTGGAAGGCAGCAAAGCATAGAGGTGGCATGGCTCGTGAGTCAAACCACAGCGGTGCGAATCCTGACTCCAGTCTTTGCTGATCATTAGCTTTGTAACCCTTCATCTCAGATCTTTTTTACCTGTAATACAGGGATTAAAAAAAAAAGATGTACCTCACAGGTGTTCTGAGAGCCCTAAACAAGATAAGCACTAGGAATAGTGCCTGCATGGTAAGTGAGAAAAATTAAAAGTTTAACTATTACAGCATTTTAATAATGGGAAAAAATTAAAAAGACCCTAAACATTCACTAGTGGAGAAATGGATCAGCAATTTATGGTGTTAACTTTTAAGATGGAATCTTTGCAGTGGTTGGGAAAAATGCATTCTCTGTGTACTGACGTGAACAGACCTCTAAGACCCACTGTTAAGTTAAAGCAGCCAATTGCAGAACATCAAGTGTATTTTTGTGGAAGAAAAACTATCCATGGATAGGACAGTGGCTCTCTCTGGGGGTTAGGAAAGAGATACAACATCTAATATTTACTTTGTATGGTTCTTATTGTTTACATTTGTTATAATCTTTCACACACTTTGTAATGAAAAACAGTAAAAAGACACAAATTGAAAGGTAGCAGAATTTATTCTTAGTTTTTGCTTGTGTGTGTCACACAGATTCCAAGTTCTTGGATGACAAGAGACTTGCGCTACATTTTTCGATTCCCCCAGAGAGGCTTACACAGTGTTCTGCATGGGTGCTTACGAGAATGAATGCATGAAGGATGCATGCATGAACCGCCTGGCACCTGTTTCCAGAAAGGCAGCCTTTGCTACTGTTTTCTAGGGTTAAAACACCCATGGCTTCATGCAATCATCTTAGTTCATTCTAAGGTCAGTATTTCACCCCCGCCCCCCCTTTTTTCCAGTTTTTGGCCTGGGGCATGCTCAATGTTATGTAGCAAACTTATTCCTTAAAAAAAGGAAGTTTGCTCTTCAAATCTTACTCTATAAAAATGATACCCTTGCAGGACAGACACAATAAGACACATTTAAAAGGAAATGAAAAGAAAAAGAGAAACTTGATGGAAAGGGTGAGCCACCATACTGATCAGCCCTCCCTGAGTGAGCAGACCTGTGGTCACTGATCAGCGCATTACCCATGCTTCTCGGGCTTCTTGTGATACTTTCCAAACACTACCCCAAGCTTTCTCCCTGAGTGGCTGCTACCACTCCTTTGTCTCACTGCTTTCAGAGTCCAGGCAAAGACTCAGAGATGACATGGCTGGAGTGGGAGTCTCTGGGTTTGTGCAGGTGTCCAGCTCCCAGGGAAATTTCTTAAAGTACCTTCACTCTCTACCCTGAGACTCAAATTGACTCTCCTCTCTGAGAATGGGCCCTAGGTGACTCTATTATTAAACTCCCCCACCAACACTTCTGCTATTGAAAAGCCAGCGATCTGGTCCAATTCCACATCCAAGGTGAAGAAGTCAAGGCGCAGGAGGCCCCCAAGCCAATACCCCCTGTGAAGCCTCCACTTTTGCACCTTCCCTGCCTGAGGCCAGAGCCAGCCCCCATCAGGGTGCCCAGGCCAGCTGCCCTGGATGGGTCCTGATCTCCCCTCTGCCCCTGCCTGGGTTACCTTCCAGGCCAGGTGAGTTCTGACAGTACCACCCACTCCCAAGACCTCCAAGAAAAGTATTTTCACATCTTTTTATTTTTCTCTCTCTTTTTAATTCATTTGTTAATAATGGACTTGTAGTGACTAGAAAAAAAGCAAAAAATGCATTCTTAGGTATGACTTGTCTGGAGTTACACAGTGACCCAATAAGTGGAATGGGATGCACAGGGCCCAGGTCTCTCTCCGTTCAATGCTCCCTCTATCAACCATATAGGGTCCGCCCTAAACACTGGTCAGCATCATTTCCTCAGAGAAGCTGGTCCCTCAAATAATAAAAATGTAGCCTCATTTTGGGAAGGGCTGGGGCCAGGAGGGCCGGGAAGACAGTAGCAGAAGAGGTTCATTTCTGCTGACCTTGTGGTGGCCACTGGACCTCTGTATCCCTGCCCGCATAAGGGCTGTGTGGTCAGGACCGGAGCATGCCAGAACAGTGAAAACAAGCCTCTCTTTGCTCAGGTTCCCAGGGCAGAGCTATTCAGGCCCAGCCCCCTAAGGAATCTGGTCTATCCTGGGAGGCTGAAATTCCAAGAAACTTTAAGGTAGCACCTTACAAATCTAGGTTATTGTATCAGATATTAAAAACAATGACCACAAAATGACAAAAAGCCCTGTGAAGCTATTAGATGTCACTAGGGAACTATCCTTTCCTGGAGCTGAATTCTCAGGGGAGACTGTGCATTTCACGTACCTAGAGGAATGCTCAGTTCACTGAACACATCCTCTGGCTCCCAGGAAGGCAAAGGAAGAGGCTGTTTCAGCTCCACTTCAGTGTATTCTGGTGACCTCACGTCCAGAGATTTCATTTCCGTGTACTTGGAGTTTTCTGCAAAACATGAGACAAGGCAAAGAACTAATGAAACACAGAACACCTCTAAGAATCTCTACAATTCTAGCCTTCCACTGTGTGGAATGGGCCCTTGGACTGCTTAACGACATGAAGCTAGGGCGAGGACTGCTAATTAGAAACAGAGTGCTATAATTAAAGAGTTTTTTCACTGCCAAAAGAATGCCACACACATGAAAACTTGGCACATCTTTGCCTTGGGTCTGGGGGGATGGGCTGCTGATACCTTTGTCTGGGACAATTTACCTCCATGCCCCCCCAATGCAGAAAGCACTCCATTCTGCCTGCAGAATTAGTGAAGGGGAAGAAATGTGCTGATGTCCACAGGAGCACTGAGGCTAGCAGAAAATGGCACAAAGCCATTGTCACCCCAAACTTGTGGAGTAGTGTTATTAAATATGAACTCCAAACACTGGGTTAGCTAGTAAGCCATTACCACCAGTGCGTGCTGAGACCTCTACTGCAAAATAAAAGGGGTTCAATCAGGGCAAAGTGGACGTTTGACTCCTCCTTTATTCTTGCCTTCTCTAGAAACGGCCCAGGCCTGAGTGTTTCTCTAGCAACAGGAAGGCAGCTCAAGGCAGAGTTTCCATGGAGACCCAGATCCTCTCAGGTGAAAAACGGCTCAGGTCAGCTTGACATGGAGGAAAGCCCAAGCCTCGGGCTCACCTTCGAGCTTATGCCAGCCACAGAGGGCTGAATGAATGTTTATTTTTAAGCTTTTCCTCTATTGTTTTAGCTCCTGGCTCTTGTCCCCCATTCTTCAACCTGTGGAATGCAGAAGGCTTCCTGGGAAATGAATTGCTAGTCGTTTTCACGGACAGAACATTGAGGGCTACCACCACCCTGAACCCCGTAGTTTCCACTTGGCAGAGAAGACAGGGCTTAGTCTATTTTAAACTCTGTCATGATGTCACAGTGCTGGGCACAGACACAACATCACCTCCAATAGCGGTGGAAGAGATCCAGGGACAGGTCAGATCCTGGAGAAGAGTGGGTCTGTGGTAGTAAGAAGGGGAGCAGGCCAGGCCCCACAGGGAGCCCCTTGTTCCTCCCTCTGCCTACTCCTTTCACAGCCCCCCACATCCCGCTGCTCACTCAGGCCCCACAGAAATAATGGCCCGGGGGGTCCTCTGTCCTGCAGGCATGAGAGGCTGCTTGCTGATCCCGAGGAACTGAAGCTCCTTTGGCTGATAACTCAAAACTTTTGGCTATTTTAGTTGTCAGAGTCCATCTGGGTTCCCATACATTCACATAAGTCTGTCCTATCTGAGTTTGCTACTCAGAAAACATGTGGCCTCTATCTGGTTTCCTTTACGCCATTTGCCTGAAAGCTTGTAATAGTTTAACCAGGCATTTAGAAGCTTGCTTTCTGCATCAGCTTTAACACTGGTTGAAACCTTACTCAGGTCTGTCCAGCCTGCACCCGCCCATGCTCTTCTCTAGGTGATCTGTGGTCCAATCAACCCACCGCACAAAAAAAGGAAGGTAGTTACCCTGGGTTGACACTCCTTGGCTTTGGAGGTGGGTTTCAGTGGGGGAGCTGACTTTCCCCTCCAGGGGACTGCCTTCACAAGCCCCGTCTTCGGGAGTCCCCTTGACCTTGCAGTCATCAAGAAATGGGCTGCGCTGCCGGGCCCTCTCCTCTGCTGGCTTGGGAGAAGACATTTGCTGGGGTGCAGGGGCCAGACGAACATCTGAGTTGTCTGCTCCCTTTGCCTGCTGCTCGTAGCAATCTGACCCCTCCAGTGAGAGGCCTGTCTCGCTTTCAGCTGGCTTCTGCTCAGCATCCAGATTTAGGCCAGGTATGTCCACGTCCATGTCACTGAGACAGCTCATGGGAGCAGAAGGCAGTTCCTTGGGTGACCCAGGGCTGATTTCTGTCGCCCTAGTACTTACGGGCTTGACTCCCTCCCTGGGGAAATCCTTGGCTAAGTCCAGGTCTAAGGTGGTCGTCACACAGGGACAGATTTCTGGACAGAATTTGTCCTTCTGGTCAACGGACACTATTTCTTCCAGCTCTGGGATGTCGGGTTCCATGATAAAATCCTCCTCCTCTCCCACCTCGTCCACGGTAACCAGCTCCTCCATGTTTGTGGGGTACCAGCTCTCCCCCTCTGCCTCACTTCCACTCTCCCAATCTTGCTCCTGAACAAAATGCAGAATGGAGGTCAGAAAGTGGCTTAGGAGTGGTCTCAGTATTCAGTCAGAGGGCACAAACCTTGACCTCAGGACCCCTCAAACCAGAAAGATCCTGAAACTTCTTACTTGTTCCTGGGAACATTTACTGGGTAATTGAGAGCTGTAAATCATTCAAGTCCCACATCACTGATTCATTCCCAGGAGGACGCTCAGAGCGCAGGATTTGGAATAAGCCCTTAATGATTAATCTACCATGGTTGCAGTGTCACAAAGAATTTCAAACCCTGGTAGATAATAGTTACTCAATGAATAGTTTTTGACTGCTTGAATGATTAAGTTATAATTCAATTTGCCTGAGTTATTTCCTTGCATGTAAGGTTAAATGTAACTGCAGCAAAATTCCCCCAAGCATTTTCTCAGCAAGGGTGCAACTTCCATAGCCATGGCTCATACCTCACCCCTTCTGAAACCTTCCCCTGCCATCTCCAGCAGCCCATGGACCCAGCAGCCAGATTTAGGAGACCAGCTTCCATGCCAGCAAAGCCCATCTCTCCCTGACCGGAAAGGCACAAAGCTGGCCATGTTCCAAAAACATTTCTTTTTGCTGTGTCGGCTCCAGCAGTATGACTGGCTTTTTCATTTTAGTTAAGTCAAATAATCTTTACAAGCACAGTAGATGTTTTGTTAATTCTAGGGTCTGGGCCTGCTGAGGTCAGGGCCCCAGTTTGAATATCCAACCTCTCCACTAACACTACCCAAATCCTCCCTAGGGACCTGCCTATTTTGGGATCCTGGGTCTAAAGCCTGAGTCTTTTGGGGAAGCATGTTTTCTCCTATGAGCACAGCCAAGTTGCTGGAGGCTGAGACAGGGCCCAGGCATGTGGTAAAGACCTCCTCAATAAATACTGTGCAAAGATCCCAAGCAAAGTCATTTTTTCAAAAAGTGGTCACTTCATTCTTGGAACCACTGGTGGGCCCTCAGACACAGCCCAGGCAGAGAGCAGGGCATTACGGCCAGGCCGGGGACCTCTGTGACTTGGTGCCCAAAGGCAGTCACACACATGTGGTCACACCGCCAGCAAGTGGGACAAACTTTACCTTCTTTGTCCTTGTGTTTTCCGCATCCAAGGACTCTGTTTCTTTCTCCTGCCTGAGGGTTAATGGGGGACTTTCTTCCAGGCCCCCCTGTTCCTCTTTTCCAGCCTTAGCAAAGGAGAGCAGAACAAACCAAATCAGCACGAGCAGTGGCACAACAAAGAGGGAGCACCAGGAGAGACAGCGTAGCACTGAGCACGGCCCAAGGACCAGGGGTGTTCCACATGTGCCATTTCCTTTTCCCTCCCCAAATCCCGGAGGCAGGTGTTGTTATCGTCTTCATTTTACAGATGAGGAAACTGAAGTTCAGAGAGGTTAAGTAACTTGCTCAAAGTCACACAAAAAATGGAGGCACAGAAATGTCTTAACAGCTGATCTGAATGTCTTTGAGAAGGCATAAATCCCTGGCAGACTGGGTGCTTTTTGCAGCTGTAAAACCTGTAGCTGATGAGGGTGAGTAACGGGGCTGAGGGTGAACTGACCCAGTGTTAACGACCATGGTGGTGACACATCTCCTGCCTTGGCCAAAAAAAGTTCCGTCCACGCCGCATGGCAGGTAGGAAGGTGGCTGTCACGCAACCTGTGCCCCTCTGACCCCTCATTTGCCCTCTCAGTCCAAACGGGCAATTCCTTCCCTTCACTCTCCTCCCGTTCCCTCCCTCAAAGGAAGTCTCTCGTGACAGTGCTCATGTCTGGGAAACTGAACGACTGAAAATAACTCTTTGGTTGGAGCAGTAGGCTCTCTGACCAGCCTGTCATTTGCTCTGTCAGCAACCTATGCTCTGTCCTCAAGCCAAATGCAAGCCATTACCTCTTTCCGTACAATCTGTGCACCAACAATGCTTTTCACATTTTTAAAGACTTGCATTTTTAAATGGTTGGTTAAGGACCTACCTAATATCCTCAGTTTTGCCTCTCAGCCCACGGAGCCTAAAATGCTTACTGTCTGGCATACTGTAGAGGAAGGTCGCCAACCCGCTTTAGAAGTTTTTGGAGGATATTCTCCCATGACTTAAATTCTGGCCACCAAATCAATGACTATTCCCGGGTTTCCTCAGGGGCATTTTCTTGACATTTTTGGTTGAGGTTGGTTCAAAGTAAATGACTGACTCTAGTTCTGGTTTTTTATGACCAACACACCCCTCATGGGCTGACAAGGTGCCAGCTGGGGCAGAGCTCAGGGCTGACTGGCTTAACCAGTTATTACCAGACAAGAAAAGACAGTTCACATCCTCAAGTCCTCACTCTTTCAGTGTCTGACACGGAAGATTCCACGGGAAGTTCTGCTCTGGTCTTCTGACCTGACCGGAGTGCAAAGCTGCTCCAAACGCCTTTTTAGCTGCCAGAACCCATAGCTTCTACCAACAGGGGACTGCTTTCCTTTACTTTTATCTTCCTGAATAGATTATCCCTGGCCCTCCCTTACCAGAGGAAACAATCCTTATCCTTCCCAAGCAGTTCCTGCAGCCATACTCCTAGGTCAACACAGTGAAGAGACCCCCTCCAGTTCAAGTTGGAAGAGGCAGGGACACCCCGGCCTGGCCAGAAGCCCCCTGCAGGCCAACCCCTGCTCTCCCACCCCGCTGGGGAAAGGACGAGAGCAGTGCCTTCCAGTGCTCCCTCCACCCTGGAATCACTTCCAGGTTACAGCAGCTGCTGAAAAGGAAGAGACAAATGCAGCCAATGCACCCAGCCGCCCACCCGAGCTCACGGACCAAGATATTATGTCCCAACTATTACAAGCAGGGCTCTGCCACCACAGGGCTGGAGCTACTGTGGACCCACCTCCTAACTGGTCTCTCTTCTGCCCTGTGGCCTCCTCCCAAGTCTGTGCTCCCCTAGGCAATCAAGAATGATCACCGAAATGTAAAAACTGTCATATCCTCACTGTACCTTTTTGCTTAAACATTTTATTTGCCTCGCCTTGCACTTAGAACGAAGACAAAAATCCTTAACCTGCTTATAAGGCCCTGCAGCATGATGTGGCCCTGTTGACAAATCAGTGTCACCTCCCATCACTCTAACCCAGGCTTTCTCTGTTTCGGCAACACTGGCCTCTAGCCCCAGAGCCTTTGCACATGGTGTTCCCTCTGCCCTCTTTCTTTTTCACTCAGCAAATAGCTTCTATTCCTTCAAATCTCAACAGTTCCATCCTAACCCAGGGAAGCCTCTGATTCATTACAGGCACCAACAGCCGTATACTTCCATCTCCTTAGCACTTAACACTCACACTCTTCTACTCATCTGGGGAATTAGTTGATTAGTATGTCTTTCCATCAGACCATGAGTTCTGTGAGATCAGGAGTCGTTTAAGCTTTCACTCACAGCTGTAGCCCCAGTGCTCGGGGCTCCATGGATATATTAGTCAATAGAGAATAGAGCTTAGGGGGAGGGCGTGGAGTGAATAAATTCTTATCTGCCACCTGGCATGTTGGGTTGCCATCTGGGCTCTGATCTGAGCATAAGTGGTTTTTCTATTTCTGCCTCCTATGGATTGTTTATACTGGGGCTGCATTCTGGGGACCCCTGGGCTCCATCAGGCCCACAGGCACATTTTGGTCTATATAGTTTCAAAAACGTCATTACAGATATCTGGACTTTGGTCTTGCTCTAAGAAACAGGACAGCTGACAGCACAGGACATGTGTTCCTGAGTTGGCAGCTGTAGAATGGAGTTGAGCAGTGGCTGGATGCCACCAAGAAACAGATATCTCCTCTACAGTCTGACATGGTCTCTTCACTCACACTGTCTGGTCTGTGTCGTCTGCCTGGCTTCCCTTCTCTAGACATCTAGGTCTGTAACTTTGATACCCCTTCCAGGAAGGCGGACGGTGCTGTTTTCCATGTCCTCCCTGTTCAGTGACTTGCTCTCTTGCTTTCTTTTCTTTCCTTCTTCCTGTGGTCTCGTGGTCAGCGCTGGGTCTCCTGTACAGACGTGGCCCTCACTAACACTGAGCAGCATGCACACTGGCTTCTCCAGCACAGGCACCTTCTCCAGAGAGCTGAGGGTTACTACTGAGCATGAGCTTGTTAAAGTCCTACCACGGCCTTGTGATCACATCCATTTCACAAACAAGAAAACTGAGGCAGAGAAAACAGGGTGTGACCCAGCTCTCAGAAGCCAGGCCTATGTTTCCAGAGTCTGGGCTCAGTCATTCTTTCCTTCAACAAATATTTAATGAATACCCACTCTCTGCCAAACCCTAATCTAGGGGCTGGGAACATTGCAGTGAGCAGCAGACAAAAATTCTGCCCTTGTGGAGGTTACACTGGGAGGCAGGGGGTTTAGACACTAAATAAAGTAAATAAAGAAGTTCGGGGGTAGGTTAGAAGCAGATGGTGCTAACAAGAAAATGAAGCAGGGAAGGAAAAGAAGGGGGTGGGACACTGTGATTTTATACAGTGGCCAGGAATAAATTTGTGGAGCAGTGACAGTGGGTAAACACAAAGGAAGTGAGGAGGGGGCCATGCGGACTTCCCAAGGAGGGGCTCCTAAGCAGGGGAACAAGTGCAAAGGCCCTGTGATAGGAGGTGTCTGGTATACTAGAAACAGGCCAGGACGCTGTCCTCAGCCCAGCTGCCTTCATTTCCCAAGTTCAGTCACAGCCTGATTGTGATACAGAATTTGTGATAAAGGGAGGAAAACTTTGTTCTGTTGTTTGGTGGAATCACGAAGTGGAGTGAGGCTGCCTGGCTCCAAATCCTCAGATGGAGACACAACAAGTCCTGCTGACCCCACTCCAGGGGCTATCAGAAGCAGAGCCCACTAGGGGATCGGGGGAAACCCATGAGGCTTCCTGAGAATCGTTTTTTTTCAATGAGGCTCTTAAGATGACCCATCGTGTGCATTTCCTCCAGCAGGGAATGCTGTGCAAACTGAAGAAAGCAGGGCAGGTAAAACAATAGGAAAAACAAAGTCACCGAAGAAGAGTCTCACAAGTGTGGGCAGCCAGTGCCAAGGGGCAGCTCCACCCCTGTGCCATGGGAACAGAGGGCTCCTGGCTGGTGGTATGTGTATGAACTCCAGCCTGCCTTGAGCCCTTGCCAGTTCTTGCTCTCTGCCATTCTGTGCCTCTTCTCAAGGTGCTGACCCATCACTGACCCTTGGACACCTCCAAGCATACTCTTCTTGAACACATCCTCTGGAGCATGGGTCCTGGTCATGCAGTTCAAGTCCTCAGCAAGTCACACGAGGTCTTTCATTACCCACCCCACGCACTTCCTTAACCTTACCTCCTGAGCATCCCCCTATGCCAGTCAGGATAAATTGTGGCACACTTTGAGATGGGCAAAACAACTACTGGATGTCCTTTTGACGGAATGCGTGGCAGTTGCCTAGCACATCCTCCAGGGTGTCAGATGCTATGAGTCTGCACCTTTTATTATCTTGAACTGAGCTATTTTACAACACTGAATTGTAGAAAACTAATAGCAGTGCAAATAATTCCGCAGAGATGTGAAGGAATTTTATCTGGTGGAGTTACAACTAATTCTCAGTTCCCTGTCGAGAAGGCCAGTTTTACATCTATTAGCAAATTCATTCCAGCATTCCTGACTGCCTCTATAGGTTGCCTGCTCTTCGGACTCTCCTTTAAACAGGCTTGTACATCTTACTGATTCCCTGATTAGTTAATGAGTTAAATAACATCGTTGTTTCATGTATTCGTTTTATGTTTGCACAAGTGCCATGATTTTATTTTTAAAAACATTATCCTGTAACATGCCATGAAGATGCGGCCACACTGAGTATCTCCAGGGTCTTCAAAACCATCTTCCTTTCTCACCTTTGCCCTTGCTGTTTCCCAAATTGCTCTTAATGCCCAGCTCAGATGTCACCTCCTCTATGCAGCCAAGCTCTCCCCATACAGAGTTAACGGCCTCAGAACAGCTCATCCTCGGCTCTATTCCAGCAGGGGCCCTAGTGGGTGCAAATCACTTCTGTAGGTCCACTTCCACATTAGACCTTGGTCTCCACCATAACATGAACTAGCTCCTACTCACCTTTAGACCCCCTGCGCCTAGCATACTAGCTGGCAAAGCAGAACTCTACCAGTACATGCAGGGAGTGAATGCAGAGTGACCAGTGTGACTTGTTGGTGTTCATGGAGTTGACAATTAGGCTCCTTATCTGGACTTGGTCATTTCATTGTCACCAACTCCTGGGTCAGACTAGAAGACGGCCACATAGGAGTTTTTAAAGTTGGGTTCTTTATGTAGAACCCCCAACCTCTGCCATCCCACTCCTACTTAAATGTAGGCCATTCTGGCATGAAGGATGTGTAAGCCAAGTCCAAATATACATCTTGTACCCAGAGTCCTTGTGACCCACCGCATGAACTGATGTCATGCAGCAGGCTATAAGCCCTTTGAGACGCTTGGATGAAAGGTGCCTGTCAACTGCCAAGCATTTTATTACAGTGGAAGTAAAACACTGTCAACGTGTCTAGAGAAGCAACCAAGCCCTGAGCACCCAGCATAATTCAGTGGGTGGCGGCTTCTTCTCCTTTAAGCCTCTCATCGAAGCCCCAGGATTGGTAGATGCTTTTGGCAGAACCAACCAAAGATCTAATCTCACTTGGCAGAGTCTGTGGGTGCAAACACCTCAGGGCCACTGCGCCCTGGACAAACAGGACCACAGAGGGCTTTTGTGTCATGTGCCTGCCTGACTTCTACTAAAGGCAGCAGGGTGCTGTGGGATTCAGAGCCAGTTCAGCTTGGTGTAACTCTGGCTCTGCTATTTCCTGACTGTGTGTCCCTGGGCAACTAACTTAAGCTCTCTGTGCCTCAGCTTCCTACCTGTAGCAAAAACGGTCTTCCTACTATGATTACTTCATTGGGTTGCTGGGAGGATTAAATGGCCAACTGAGGTAAAGTGCTTAGCACAGTGCCCCACACAGAGTAAACATTCAGTAAGTGTTTCACTCCTCCGATAAATGTTCACGCTCATTATGTCAACATTATCCTCCTCTGGGACCTGCCCTTCCTCATGTGGGGAGGACGCCGCTTCCTTACCTCATTCTCTGTCGTTCTGCTGTCTTTTCTGTCATCAGCACCTTCTTGGTCTCTGTCAGGTCTCTGGGTTCTGTTTTTCTCACTCTGCTTGGCCTTTGAGCTCTCAGGGGCCCTCATGACCTTCGGCTCCGGCCCATCCTCCCTGCCTGGGTCGTCGGGGTGGGGGTGTCTGCTTTCCCGCAGCCTGGCCTCATCTTTCCTCCTGGACTTCCCAGGGCCGTCCTGCTGCTGCTTTGGATGCTTGTCCGATTTGCCTTTGGGCTCCTTCCGGTGGTAGCTGTCCTCTCGGCTTTTGTAGCCCACAGAGGGGAGTTGGTTGGGGGACCCAGACCTCGGGTGCTTTTCTCGGTGGCCCCTCCCTCCCTCCAGCCGCTCGTCTAACTCGGCTTTGTCCAGTTGCCGGGGGTAGTGTTTGCGGTCGTGCACCCACGTGTCTGTCCTGTCCCTCTTGTCCTCCCCGTTCTCCCTCCAGGGGCCTGGGTCCCGCTCGTCCTCCCTCCTGGCGTAGGGAGAGTGCTCCCACGAGTCGCGGCTGTTGCCCCAGTCGGCCCGGGAGGGCCCCGGAGGGCTGTGCGAGGAGCTGCAGGAGGTGAAGCTTGGGGTGTGGGACCTCGGGGAGAGGGACCGGCTCACCGGACTGCGGGACCGCGGCCTTTCCGGGCCGTATCTGTGAGGGAGCCAAGGAACGGGTTTCAGGATCGGCACCCCCAGCCCCCACACAGACATGCCCGGCCCCTCACAGAGGCACCCTGCCCCGTAACCCCGTTGGAATGTACACTATGCACCACAGCTCTGCAGACCTCACAGCGGTGGGCAGGACAGAGCTCCCCCCAACTCCGGGCCCCAGGAGGGGGGCCTTTCCCGACGCACAGTGCGACCACTCTCCGCCCTTGACTCATTCTGCTCCTGGGAACTAGGATAAATAACTGTACTGGTTTGGCCAACCCTGTCTCTTTTCCTCTTGGGAGTAAGCTAGGCTGAGGGAGCAGATGACTCCTGTCCTGGTGTGGGGGGGGGTGCGGGGGAGGCTTCCCTGGTCCAGCCCGGTGGGCAAGGCTGCCTAACCCCAGGGCTCAATCTGCCAGCCTCGAGGGCACAAGACTGAAGCCACTCCTCCACTTGGCTTCTATAAGAATAAAGTCAGTCTCCTGGCCTCCATTTTTCTTATTTCTCATTCAATTTGTTCAGATCCTGGGCATGGTGGAAGGATGCTCATTCCTGGAGAGTGAGATGGGTAGGGTAGGCTCAGAGGTTCCAAAACCAAAGAATGGGGAAGGCATTTTAGGGATGAAGAGACCCTAGAGCTCGTGTTTCAGATAAGGAAACTGAAACCCCGAAAAGGACCCCAATCTGCCTACAATTCACAGCAAAACCTCCTAGTGCCCCTGCCCCTACACACACACTATGTCTGCCACAGATACATACATACATACACTCTGAAGGTTGCCTGGTTATTAAGGAAATCAGCTGAATCATATACCTGATATTCTGGAAGGAAAATCATGCACCCCTCACTGAGGGGACGCCAGGGCTCACAAGAACCAGGTTGCCTTGACCATCACTGGGCCAACAGTCTGGGCTCAGCCCTCTACAATGGGGTCAGAGTGCCATCTGTGGCAGCGCGGGGTAAGAGCCACGGAATGTGAAGGGTAGGTGCCCGTTCCTGCTGTTTTCCATCTTTGCTCTCCACAGGGATTGTCTTTGAAGGGCAGTGACAGTGGTAAATTTGTAGCCCATCTTGGCACAGTCACAATTTCAGTTGGAAGAAATGAGTTGAAAACTGAAGGCAATCAATGGTCAGAGTAAGTGACTGTCAGGTAAATACTCTTGTAGGAGCCATCTGCAGTCCTCTTCCTCCAAATTTATATTCAGCTCATGGAAAATGAAGAGCTGGCTCTGAATAGAACACACACACACACACACACCACTCCCTCACAGGCTGTTGTAGCAGAGTGTATACTTGCCCCAAAGGACCATATCAACAGAGCTCCTCTACTCTATTATTTCCAGCAGAGGAAGAGCAGATGAGAGGGAGCCCAGCATCTTGGATTTTCTGAGGTTTAACCTGAGCAGCACTTCAGGACTATTTATTTATTTATTTAATAGTCTGGTGTCTTCCACTAGGCATATGGAAAGGTAGGGAAAAGAAAGGCTGATAGACAGGGCTGGGCACAGTGTGACTCAAACACCCCTAAGAATGAGAAATAGGAGAATGTCCCAACTGTCCAGAATTTGCCCTGGGCCTCACCTGTCCGCTTCCCGGAACATGTCCCTCTCCCTCTGAGAATGGATGTCCTGGAGGATGGCAGCCACGGTTTTCCCAGGTTTCTAGGCAAAGTTGGAGAGATCACCATCAGACCAGAGAGGGCCTTGCAAACAGGCCAAGTGGAACCAGCCAGGAGTTGTGTTCATGGCCCAGTCCACCATAGGGGAAAAAGTGCCTTTTCAGGGGATGAGAAATGTGAACCTAATGCTAAACGGTAGTAGGGCTCAGTGGTCCAGATAGTTTGGGTACCTCTTTATTGTAGAACGTTTCAACCATACAAAAGCAGAGAGAATGGTATATTGAACCCCCCATGAACCCATTTCCACCATCAACAATTCTGACCAATCTTATTTCATCTCCCTTGTTTCCCCACCTCATAGAATATTTTGAAGCAAATCCCAGACACCGTATCTTCTCATTCATTGTGTGATGACGCTGATGCAGTTCAACAAACCCACAGGGGGCTATCCACAGTGCCCACGGCGAACACAGCCCGCTGCATTAAGTCAAGGTTGAGAGCTCAAGCCCCATGCAGTCCCCGGGAAGTACTCAGAAGGAGGTGCCACGATTTGAGGATCTCAACCAAGAAGAAGAGCCCCAGCTCTGCCCCAACGGGTCACCTGGGGCCAGGGCTTGTCTGTGGGAGACTCACTTTAATCAACCTAAAAGGTGAGATAATGAGGCCCATCTGGCATCCACCAGGAGCCTCGGGGCATAGCAGGCTACACCAGTAAAAGCCATGGGGCGCTCAGTTTCATGCCCTCTGACCCTTCAGCAACGGGTTTCACGTGCCTCAAGAGTCTGGGAAGATGCTGAAACCTTCCAGAGAGCCCTGAACTCATCAGAGCCTGATGAGCGTCTGTCACAGCAGCCCCCATTGGTTTTGACATTTCTGTGCTTTCCAGGCTCTGCATCTCTTCTCACCTGGGTCCTTCTGCAGGGAAGCTCCCCCTCTGTTCAGCTAATTCAACTCAACCTTTAAGGCCCAACTCAGTAATCTTCCCCTTCTTTACAACCAAGCCACACTGCCTTTTGCCACTGAACTTCTAGGAACTCCCGTACTTACACACTTATGCTCAAATCTTGTATAATTTTGTACAAGAATAGCTTGTTTCCCCAGTTAGATAGGAAACTCTCCCCAAATGAGGATCATGTCCCATAGTCATCATCACTTTCGGCACCATGTCTTACATGGAAAAGACCCTCAATCATCATTTGTTGATTTAATCTTCCCAAGAGGATCATGGATCATTCACAAGAGTGCTTCCGGGCACCAGAGACCCTCTCTGTGGCTAGGAGGCCGGCAGGACCAATGGCTCTGAAACGGGCCCCCTGTCCCAAAATTGCCTGGGAGCCTCAATCCCACCCTGAATATACTGAAGGGGAATCCCTGGGCAAGAGGTCCCGAACACTCTGCTGACAATTCTCTGACATGGTGACTAGGAGACATGGGTTTAAATTATTCCAAGTTTCCTTTTTCATGTAAGATGCTATGATTCTGGAGGAGTCTCTATAGAACAACCCAGAAAATAGTTCAATCTTCTTGTCCAGATCTGCAGGAAGAAAAATACTCACATTTCATTATTCCTTCAGAATTTCTCTTTCTCATTCATTTCACATATTTGTTGGACACCTATTATGTAAAAGATTCTGTCCTAAATGCCCTGAAGAATAGAACCTCTGCCACAAAGGGTATACAGGGAGACAAGATTACCAGCATGAGGAAATATTCCAGAGAAGAGATGAGAAATACTTCAAAATTTCTTAATTTCCCTGCACTTTGCCTGGTTAGCAAAAGGTAAATTTGGAGGAGATAAACCAACCAAAATTTCCCCTCACCTCTCAGGCCCTGATGGGGCCCCATGTGGTGGTTCTTCTGGCCCAGAGACACTTAGACATATAGGGTTTCTTTGCCCACCTCCCCAGCAGCCATTCTCTCTACTCCACCCTGGCTCCCTGGACGCAAGTGACGTGGCCTGGCCAATCACAGCAGAGCCTCTCCCTGGCCACAGAGATTGCTACAGGGAAGGACACGAGTCCTAAGCTAGCCCAGTCAGAGTGACTCTCAGTAACTTCTGAGGAAGATACTTAGGGAAAACTCTGGCTCTCTCTTCTTGAAAAAAAGAGGCTAAGAAACCAGTGCTGCTGAAGTCTATGAAGCCATTACGCCACCTAGAGGAGAGGGCCCGAGGCTGCCAGGGGCCACCCCAAGGAGACCCCAAAACTAACGCCAAGCAAACAGAAGCAGAGTGGAGACAAGTCAAGTTCTAATGATATCCTTTGGGCTCTGAATCCAGCCATCCTGCAGTCAGGACTACTCCTGGACTTTGCATTTCTGTGAGCCAATAAATTCTTTTTTATTTTACTTCAGTCAATATGCTTAATTGAAACAAGTTTTCTATTACCTGCAGAGAAAGTTCTAGCTGATTCATGTTAATGTTCATGTCAATTATAATGCATGCCTTACTATATAGTTGAAACATGCTTTGAGATGCTTTCACATGGAGGTAGTGTGACAGTTGAGAGAGTAGAAAATCCTAACTAGAGGCCAGAAAACAATGTGTTCTGGACCCTTGCTTTTAAAGTGTGCTCTGAGGACCAGTAGCATCAGCCATCTCCTGGGAGCTTGTTAGAAAGGGGGGGATCCACAGCCTTGCACCAGACCCAGTGAATCAGAAATTTTAACAAGATGTGCAAATAATGCAATTATAGTCTAAGAAGCTCTGTTAGAATACTATCTCTGCTGCTTAATGGCTGGGTGACTGGAAGCCAATTATCTGATTACTCCCTGATTTTTATGTGGACAATGGAGATCGTAATAACACAATATGAGATGAGGATATAGTACAAAATCAAAACAGTCCTAGGTTTTAATCATGGCTCTTCCAGTAACTATGATTGTGGGTATGTCACTGAACTTTTATGAGCCTCAGTTTCCTCAAGTATAAAACTGAGATAATAACATCTGTCTGGCATGACTGGTGTCAGGATTGCAGCAGATAATGAATGCAAAATGCTTGGCACATGACTTGACCCAGAGTACCAGGACTCAATGACAGGTGTGTATTCTTGTCATTATTGTTGTACTGTTAGAACTACTGTAATTATCCACCCTACATGCCTCTCAGGGGACAGTGATGATGAGACATAAAGACATGATACAGGGAAAAAATATGCATGAAACCAAAGAACTCAATGTATCCTTTCCTGATCTGGAAACTAAGGTTCACGAAGGTGAAGCAACTCGTCCACGCTCACCAAAGCAAGAAGATGTAGAGCCTAGGTTGGTACTGCCACTTCCCAATCTCAAAAAGGCTATGTGGCTGTTGAGGGTTCTATGTTTACCTGTTTTTCTCCCAGCAAACTGTGAGCTCCTCCACAAGCTTGCTGCTCTCACATCTGTGGTGCCTGGCCCAGGTCCTGCTCACAGTGGGCATTCGCTGAACATCTGCTGAATATAAACCCTGACCTTCTGATCTCTTTAACCAGTGGTTTTTGCACCAACACAAACTATCTCCTTTGGTTAAGGTACTACAGTGTCCCAGTACCTTAACTTAAGAAGCCGAGTACTGCTGTTAATACTAATTAGAACCTTACACAACACCTCATTCAGAGACCAAAGCTCCCCTGGGAATTCAGTGCATGATTCAATTCTAGCCCCCACGGGAACAGGAACTTTGGCCGGGTGCAGAATAGGGTGGGATCTTCCACTTGTCTGGAAAAAGCATGGTGCTTTCATTAGTCAGGAAAAAAAAAAAATGCCAGGTTTTGCCAGAACTGTTGGCAAAGGAAATTCAGAAGCAATAATGCAAGGAAAGCAGAATCAGGACTTTGGCAACTGGCTGACATGTTACTGATCTACATATGTAGACTTGTCAGAATACTAGTCCCAGCCAATAACAACCACTGAGCCTTTGTCTTCTGACTTCATGCTTGAGGGCAGATTAAGGGCTGTGGGTCTTGAACAAAATGGATCCTAGTTAAATGTGGAATAAGCTGAAGTGAACTGAAAAATCCTTATTTTAAATGGGACAGTAGAAAGCACAAAATAAGAAGGTACATTTAAACACAAATACAGCATTAATTACAATAAATCCAAAATGGACTTAGGTGCTCCAGTTAAGTGAAGTCCTGCAAACCATTAAGAAGACATACTCTAAAAGAAAAGCATGGGTAAACGACTTGGAAAGAAACTTCCCACTAGAGAAGGTCCAAATGGAATGGCTAGTACACACAAAAAAGTGTTCAACCTCAATTAGTAATCAGGAAAAAAAAAACATGATAAACCACTATTCTCTCCCCAAGTAGGCAAAAATTAAAAAGTCAGACAAGATAAAATGTCAGCAAGAATGTGCACTATTGAAAACTCTCAGTTGGGACAACTATTTTGAAAAGAGCTTGCTAGTATCTGATAAAGCTGAGGGTAAGCATGTCTCGTGATGCAGCAATTTCACTCCTAGCTATGCATTTTCCCTGGTTATGTGCTTTCATACATGTGTGTGAAACAGGATAACATGTTTGAGATTGTTCATGGTAGCATTGTCCTAATACCCTAAAACTGGGAACAACCCAAATATTCATCAACAGATATATTTATAGTGATACAATGGGAATTTACATAACAATGAAAATAGACACACCCAACACTGGTGGTATATTGTGGAATGGAAGAAGCAAGACATGGAAGATGACAGACAGTATGACTCCATCCACATAAAGTTCAAAACCAGATAAAACTAAACTAGAATGCTCAGGGAGGGATATATGGGCAGTAGAACTATAAGGAAAAGCAAGAAAATGATTATCCTCAAAGTCAAGAGAGTAGAGGGGGAGGGTTTGAGCTGAAGGAGGCAACTTAGGGAGGCTTCTGGGTGCAGCTGGAGTCCTATCCGGCTTCTGGATCCTAATTCTTGACTTTGGTGGTGGTTTTATGGGATTATTACTTTTTGAACTGTACAATACATAATTAGTCACTTAATATGTTAAACTTGACCCCCGCCAAAAAAAGAAATAAAGAAAAGAGGAATGTAGAACAAGCTAAAATAAATAATCCAAAAAAAAGCCCTGTTTGGAAGTATCTGAATTCAGCCCTGAGTTCTGATAGTGGCCAACTCAGTCATGTGCTGCTTAGAAGGATTTCTGTGGTGTTAAAGACATAATTATAAATGATGGAGCAGAGAATAAGAGATCAAGGGAGGTGACAGAGGAAGGAAAAGTTACTGAGTGGGGAAGGACATTATACTCAGGGGTTTGTGCCTGGAAGCCCCACCTCTGAAAAGCAATCGCCTTTCCCTCCTTCCTTCATCCTCCAAGGCCTTCCCTATAAAATCCTCCTTGGGCTTCAGTCGTCCTGTCTCGAGCATCCCTGTGTATTTACCCCAAGAGCACTTTTCTTGTTATAATGGTTTGCCTTCCCATGTGATATCCTCAAAGGCAGTGGGTAATTTTTGGATCTTTTCCTGCCCCCTCCTTCCTGCCAGCACTTAGGCAAGAGCCTGAGAAAGATGAAGCCCTCAGCTGATGCCTATTGACTGCATGCATGAGAGAATGCTTTACCTTCAGCTGCAATTCCTTGTATCTCTTGGACATCCGGATGAGCAACTTCTCACCATTGATCACAGCAGATTTTTCCTGGTAATACTGAACCATGGCCTGGGCAGCTTCAGTGTAAGCCATCTCTAAAAAGGCCTAGGAAGAAAGGAAGGGTATACATTGGACTTGACTTGAATGGTATTAAACAAATTTCAGGACAAGGTATGAGTCCATGTATGTGAAGTTCAAGAACAGGCAAAACAAAGCGATGGTGATAGAAGTTAGAGGTGAATGTCCCGCTTGGGTAGGGGTGGGGTACTGACTGGAAGGGGCATTAGGAAACCTGAGGTTCTGGAAATGTTCTCTATCTTGACCTACATGGTAATTACATGGGTGTACACATGTAAAAAAATTAATGGAGTTGTACACTTAAGGTTAGTGCACTTTAGAGGATGTATTTTATACCTCAATAAAAAGAAAAAAAATCAGTACAAGGAAGGGCTCTCTTTGATCCTGTCTGTTCAAAGAGACCTATTTATTAACTTCACCAAAACAGCTCATTATAAGATGGCTCCTCTCCTGATCCCCACAGTTACCAAACATTGTTCTTAAAAATTATGTATGTGCATCTTGGGCTATGTCATGGCACAGGAGCCCCTCTGGGATGGGAGGGTCCATTAACTCACAGTCCCCTGAGGTGGGGTGGGGAAAGGGAGGGACAGGGAGTCTGTTGCACAAGTGAACTTGGGCTGATCCCTGCAAAACAACTTGCCATTTGGTGCTGGTGATGGCAGGAGACTCGACACAAACCCTGGGTGTCTGAGCTCTCCGGTTCTTTACAGAAAAAGAAAAATGCTGACAGCTCAGGGCCTCCCTGGGAAGAAAGACCATGCTTCTGTGACTCAAAGAGAAAGGAAACCCCTGTTATGCCTCCACAGCATTTGTCCTCTTTATTTAACTGTCTGATAAAACACAAAAGAAATGGGCTTTTGCCTCCAATCAATGCCCACAGAGTGTTTCTAAATAGACATTTTGACTGTCCTGTCAGTTTACCCCCATACCTGCTGTGGCAGATTCATAGCTGTTATAATTTCATAGCTGTTATAATTGTACTGTACTGGTGATGTACTGATCTAGTCCCCCAGTGTGGACAAGGAAAAGGGCTCTGTGACAAGGAGCCCTCACTGAGCCCCCCTACTCCATGTCCCTGAACCACTTCCCTCACATTCATTTTTGAACTTCAGCTATGCTTTTCTCCCTGCTGACATGGTCTATGGCAGAAGCATAGAGACTAAGAAGAAGCTTTAGAGTTTTATTTCAAATTTGCCATCCAGCGTTTTAAGGTGCCTTTTTCTTGATGCAAACATTTTAGCACCTTTAGCTCTCAACTGTCAAATGAGAGTAATGTTGATTCAGTGCATCTTACTGCAGTCATGTTGCAAGTTGACTTTTGGACATTTACCCAAAATAGAATTATGAGAAGTAGGAGCAAAGACACTGAGTAGTCTAAGCCCAGTTGACAGAGGAAGACCACAGAGGATCTCATGTGCTTTGAGTCTCCAAAGTTCATGCCTTAATTACAGAAAAAATTTCTCCTATGTCTCTGTTCTTCTGATTCAGAAAACAAAAATATTAATTCAAAATAGGAGACAAAATATTCTTATTGCTGACTCTCTGTATAAATTCCCCCTTTGAATGCTGGCAAGGATGGGGAGAAAGGGGAACCCTCCCACATTGTTGGTGGGAATGTAAATTAGTTCAACCATTGTGGAAAGCAATATGGAGGTTCCTCAAAAAACTAAAAATAGAAATTCCATTTGACCCAGGAATTCCACTTCTAGGAATTTACCCTAAGAAAACAAGATCTCTGATTAAAAAAGACATATGCACCCCTATGTTTATCGCAACACTATTTACAATAGCCAAGATATGGAAATAAAAAAATAATAATAATAATAAAGGGAGAAATGTGGGATCCACATATAAATCAAGTATAAAAATCAAATGAATATTCATATTTGACCTGATTGTTTGTAATTCATAATGCGTGATCAAAACTGAAAGTTTCTGTGATGAATGCCCTTGTACTGTTCACCATGTAAGAACTTGTTCATTATGCTTCAGAATATTGGAGACTGACAAGAATTAGGCTTGAGATGGATTAATGATTGTGCATTGAGCATTGACCCCCTATAAGGAATTTTATTGTTGTTAACAACCATTTGATCAATAAATATGAGAGATGCCCTCTCAAAAAANATATACACAATGGAATATTATTCAGCCATAAGAAAGAAACAAATCCTACCATTTGCAACAACATAGATGGAGCTAGAGGGTATTATGCTCAGTGAAATAAGTCAGGCAGAGAAAGATGAGTACCAAATGATTTCCTTCATTTGTGGAGTATAAGAACAAAGCAAAACTGAAGGAACAAAACAGCAGCAGACTCACAGACTCCAAGAAGGGACTAGTGGTTACCAAAGGGGAGGGGTGGGAGAGGATGGGTGGGAAGGGAGGGAGAAGGGGATTGAGGGGTATTATGATTGGCACACATGGTGTCAGGGGTCACAGGGAAGACAGGGTAGCACAGAGAAGATAAGTAGTGACTCTGTGGCATCTTACTACGCTGATGGACAGTGACTGCAATGGGCCGTGGGGGAGACTTGATAATATGGGTGAAGGTTGTAACCACAATGTTGCTCATATGAAACCTTCATAAGATTGTATATCAATGATAATTTTTTTAAAACTCCCCCTTTGATTTTAGAAATGAAGACAAACATATTAACCCCCAGGGACTCAGTCAATCCCCAGGAGTTAAGGATTCTTAGTTTCTTAGACTTACTGGGCATCCATCCATTTCCACCTACTCTCCTGCTATGAGACCCCAGGGCCTCAAATGCTCACACCAAAGATGAGTGAAAATGCCTGTTCCTAACCAGTTGCTGGCTGGCTCCAAACACAGGCCCTCAGGTACAAGCTTAGAAAGTAAGACTGTAGGCATTAGTCCAGGGAGTTGGTAACACAGTGAAAAGACTCAAGTCCATGGATTTTTATTTTGGAGGACAGTTAGCTTTTCTCTGTTAACAAGCACCTCATTCTAAAGTACTCCCTGACCTCTCGCTAATTCACAAAGGCCTATACCCATCACAAGATGGACAAGGTGAAACAAGGAGAAACAAAACACCACTACCAACAAAAACCTCCATGCCACACCAATAGGAGGTTAATTGTGTATTACCTCTGTAAGAATAGCTTCTTTAAAAAAAAAAATTATGATACCCCTCCACCAACATGTGACCTATCTGGTACATACCAGTGTGAAAGTGCCCATACCTACCTGATTCGTAGACTTCATGAGGATGTAATTAGTGACCTTCCCAAAGGGCAGCCCCAGGTTAATGACGTCATTCTCAATGCAGCTTCCTTCAGGGAGATTGCAGATATGCACCACACGGCCAGCACCTGTTTTCCGCTGTGCAAACTAATGGGAACAAACAGTAGCAACAGGTCTTCAAAACATGTTTCCCTCTTGTCCTCTATTCTGGATGTTCCTAATGGCTATCTTCCCCAAATAATGATTGCAAAACTATAACTTAACAAAATAAATGCAAAAAATACCCATTCACAGACACATATAAAATATCAATTTTATGCCATCGCCTTCCAAAAAAGATTCACAATGTTTTTAATGAGCAATTACATGCAGGGCTATTGAAGATACGAGGATATGGGCAGATCTATAATGCTGCTGGGCAGTTGCATATCTACAACCTTTTGAGAATATACTTTAGCAATACTTAATAAAACTTAAAATAGATATAGCCCATGAATCTTCCATCTCACTTTTGGAAACCTATCCTACAGAAATAAATGCACCAATATGGATACAAGAGTATTTATTGTGATAATTTGTAAGGTGGCAAATGATTTTGGGAACAGCCTGGATGACCAAGAATAGGGGAATGTTTAGGTAAGTGATGGTTCAAGTATACAGTGAGAAACCACACAGTCATTAAAGGAGAGGTAAATGAGCTGATAAGGAATAATTTTTATGATAGAGTAAGTGAAAAACAGGTTGCCAGGTAGCATGTGTATGTAGTATGATGCCATTTTTGTAAAACAAAACAAAAAAATCAAAATATATGAGAAAGATACAGCAAATGTAAAGTTTTCATAATTATTGGAATTAGGTGATGGGCATACAGGGGTTAATTATATTGGTCTCTACTGTTCTGTACAGAATTTTTCACACTGAAAAATGTTTAAAGGTTATCAGCAGAGACAGAAAGATGTGGGAGGATACGTATCAGCCTATCAACACCAGTTATCTTCAAGACCAGAACTGGAAGGGAATAAGGGGAGAGACGTTTTACCTATTTCTAATATACCTCATGTTGTTGAACTAAAGAAAAAAGCATAGAAAGGATTTGTGGGAACTGCACATAGATATTCACAGCAACAACCTGTGGTGTAGGTCAGTGGCTTTCAAAACTCTGTTAGACTTGGGATCCTTGCTCACCAGCGCAATATATTCAATAGATATAAGGAGTGTTCTAGTCAAACCTTGGGGTCCACACTCTGCTGCCACCCTCCAGCTGGCAATCCCAAAGGCATCTCTAAGGGACACAGTTTGGAAGCCAAGACCTGGGCCTACTCAAAGCTCCCAGAGGGAGGAAGTATCTGTTTGGTCTATGCAAACCTTAATCAGTTCAGAGTCTCTGTGAGGTTCAAGAATTAGTAACCAAAAGCCAGTCCAATGTGGAAGGGAAGTATGCAGTTTTCCAAGCCTGAAACACCTTCAAATAATAGCCTAGCCTACATTTGCGTGATCACCATTTTCTATAAAATGGACTTGAGCATCTCATTACATCCAATGTGGGTTTGACACTGCTAAGATAACACAGTGAGTAAGTCTGAGGTCTCAAACCTAATGAGGGCTAATACTTGGGTCATTCTACCATGAAAAACTCTCATTGTCCCATCTGGGCTAAGGACAATTAGAGTCAATAAGAATTAGAGAAAGCCAAGTGCCCCTTTGAGACCTCCCCCTCGGCAGTGTCCAGAGGTCAAGCACTCTCCCAAAGAGGAACAGGATTTAGTGTGTGGCCCAGGCAGCCCGCAGAGCATCCCCACACCTCCATGGAGTGCAAACAAAACTCTCCATAAGCTGGGAGACTGAGTATGAGTCTGGCTAAGGAGGACTGAGGCCTGTCCAGGGATAAGAGGACTAGCAAGAGACGCAGACCCAGCTGGGCTCTGAAGCAGGGCAAAGTGGCTGGTCCTCCGAGTTAGTCAACAGGCAGGCTGAGTCTGGCACTCTGCCCGGCCTCCGTTAAGCAGAACATGTTTCTGCATGGTGTGACCACCGTGGTCAGTCTGGGCTAATGTGTACTTGGACGACAGAGCAGACACGCAGGGCAGTTCTGGGCTTATCCCCACTCCTTGCCTGTCCAGTTGCCTAGTGACCAGCACAACGGCCAGTGCCTCTCTCATTGTCTCCTTCAGACAGAAAGAGCAACTCAAGAGGCTTCTGTCTGTGCATGAGTCCCCATGCCACTGGGCCACAGAACATGCCCTGAAGAATAAACACCCTCACAGCTGCCAGCCACCAAAGAACAGGACAAATTCATGCTGCAGATGTGGTTAGAAAGGCACTAAAATGAATGGGTTCAATTACGGTTTTTCATTCAAATTTCAAAAATACATTCCATGAGTGCTTTTTACTCCCAAGATTTTTATTAGAAATAAAAGTTGGATTTTGTGATTCCCTTATCACTTAGTATCACAAATCAGGGATCATTTTTAGCATTCTTTCAGTTAATTGTACGAATTTGGAGCTTCTTGACTGGTGAGCTGCAAATGGGATATAGGTAATGCCAGGATGTTCACTCTGCAGAATGGAGGCCAAGTGTCTCCAGTGACAGTGAACAGCTTCTTCAGTTTAACCAGTTTACTTCATTTTGTCATTTTCTAAGCAAGCCATGAAATACAAATCTTAAGAATCTCTGTGTTAATGGCTTGCTCTGTGTTGTGTCTGGCCAGAATGTGTAAGAAATCCTATCCAATTAGAAAGAGAAATATTTTTACATGTTGTTATATTCTTTGGTGACTACTTGATTTAGGATAGTCCAGTCTATATTCTTTTCTGTCATTGATCTAAAATGTTTTGTTAAACTCAAGTAGGTTCAAAGTCATATTTGATTCATAAAAGGTGTGGATGTATAATAACTCCCATCTCTTCTTGAAACAGTTCATATAAACATGGCTATTATTTGCCCCACGCCCTATGGGACATTTGAATGAAGAAGGAGAAAGGGAGGGAGGCCAGAGAGTGGGAAGCTGAGAGGCAGGGAGAATGAGGTCCTTAAAATGTTACATTTAGAGTAAGATTTGTTCACTGGGGCCATAGACAACCCTGAGAGCCTCTTCAGTTTAACCAGTTTAAACTTTGAACAGCAGCAGGATGCTACACACTAATTCCCAGCCTAGGTTCTCTAGTAAGTCCTGACAGGTCTTTGAGGGTAATACTAACTCAAGGGAGGGACATTATTTCTGACATTTAAAAAACCTGAGTTGAGATCATACTCTAAGTTTCTTTACTCTGTCAGTGTGGTAACCCTAGTTAGGTCTTAAGCTGATGAGAAGGTCTCATTGGTGTGTGTCTGTGTTTTTGATTAACAAAAATGGGTAACTAGTTAACTGCTCGCTAATATAAATACTTGGGCAGATACAGTACTTTTCCAAACATGGAATGCAGGATGGCAGCTGCTTGAAATATGAGTAAATAATTAAAGGGAGCTTTGGCTGTAAAAATCTTGGGACTTTTTGATTTAGTGGGAAGAACCTGAACCTGGAAGGCAGAGGGACCGGGATGGGAGTCCCAGGTCAGCCACGGATTAGGTGAGTGACAGGGACAAACTAATTTTCCTTTCTGGGCCTCAGTCTAATGTCTGGCATGAGGGAGGTAGTCTCTATGTCTAAAGTCCTTTCCAGATGTGAGATATCCATGGTTATGTGGCTCTAAGTTTGAAAATTCCTCTCCTCCCAGAAGCCTTGCCATGGTAAACCCTAAGATCCAGGATAATAATAACTTTTTCCAACTGTGTTGGGCAGAAACAGGAAACCTGTGTCTTCACCACTCCTTGCCCCAGGGAACATAATTGTCTCCCTCTCTATGTGATCGGCTGTTTCAGTGTGCAAACGTTCACAAGTATGTCGTCTTTCAGACATGCCTGTGTTGGTGGTGGTCTCATCTTTAGAGGGCTGACAATAAGCTCCAAGCAGTGGGCACCTTGCTGATGAGCTCTGCCCACCCTGAATGACTCTGTGTCCACAGTGCCTAGCAGAGTTGAGGTAATATACTGGGATGAACTAAAGACACATGGGCCCTGGTGCCTCTCCAGGGACAGACATACATCAAGTGTGTGCCATATGGTTTCCAGGCACCAATACAAGGGCAATGGGAGTGCCACACAGACCCAGATCTGTGGCTGCTCCCCAGGGATTAGCTGTGGGCAAGTTACTGAATTTCTCCCAGCCTATGTTTGCTTGTCTATAAAACAGGGAAAATAAAAATTGCCTCCACAGCATTATTTAAAGGACAAAAATGCCATAGTGTATGTAAAGTGCCTTGGTGCAATGCCTGGCATCCAGCAGGCTCCTGTAAATAAGTGTCTGTCTCCTTTCTTCCAGCACTTGAAGAATGTGCTATGATGATCCTAGACTGGGGAAAAAAAGTAATTGTACTGTGATGATGTAAGAGAAAGTCCGTGTTCTTAGAAAATTCATACTGACCTGGCTAGGGGTGAAGAGGTACAATGTCTCCAAACGCTCAGGAAAAAACATGCATAGATGATAAGATAGATGGAGAGATGGAGAGACAAATAAAGATGGATAAACAGATGGACAATGAAGAGAGGGACACACAGACAGAAAATGATAAATAGGACAAAATGTAAAGGAAACTGGGCAAAGGGGATATGGAAGTTCCTTATACCTTTCTTGCAACTTTTCTGTAAGTCTGAATAATATTTAAAAGTAAAAGTTACCAAAGACACATTTTAAAAGATGTGGTCTGAGGCAGAAGAGTAGATGTGTTCAGAGAGAATATAAGACCTCGCTAACTTGGACTTCTGGTGTGAAGTGTTGATGGGCACCGCTAACAGCCCAGCCTCTGTTCTGCCTGCTGAGTTCCCGGGAGGCACACAGGCAACAGGTACATTTGAGGCTTTCTAGCCCAAGGTCAAATACCCAAGAGGGCTTAGGTGTCAGGCGTTGTAACCAAAGCCCTAATTACTAGCCTACATGGACAGTCTTCTCTTCCCAGTCAGGGAGTAGCAGGCTAGCACTGACTTGGAATGCCCCACATGTGATCGGGGACCTGAGCCGTATATTTTCACATGCTGGGGTCATGCATTTAAAACCAGAGGCTGCTTCTAATGGTTCATGTGGCTGGGTCCCAGACCTCTCAACATACCCACA